TGGATACAAAACAGGTTTGCCGATAGACCAAAAACATGGTCAAGTGTCAATAATACATGTATTGTATATACAATGTTAAGCTTGAGAAAATCAAGGGGTTAAAAACATGCATCCGGCATGCAAGTGAAAAACATAGAGGTACAAATAGACAGCACAAAGGAATGGAAGCTGAATGAATAGAATTTTAAAATGCATAGACAAGAGAGACACCCAATTACAACTATGTATGCTATTTCCCGGTTACTATTTTTACCTGTCCAATGCCCTGAGGATTCAGTATGACATCAATCAGGGTTTCCCCCATGACCCGTATACTCCTGCTGGCAGAGCGTAAGCCAACCCTATTAACCATATTGCTTTGTTCCTGTTCAAAGAGAACCATAAAGGAAATGTGATTTTTTGTTTTTTTTACAAAATTGTCTTGGTCTGACTATCTTTTATTAATTGTTTTTATGAATGTTAGCTCTAACCGTTGTGCCACATAGGCAACTAGATTAAATTAAAGCTGACATGAACTTTAAAAAAGGCATCAATTTTCATCTTTGTACGACTTACTACATTCCTGTACGCCCTTGTCCGCCATATTTCTTCGATTCCGCCATATTTAATCAAGTTTTTGGCCACCTGTACCTGCTATTATAGCGTTGTAGAATTGTTTCACTTGAGTGTTTTTCTAGCCTGGCTGTCGACATGTACACATCTCCGGTAGCATAGTTTTTAGAAGTTATAAACTGAATAAACTGACCAAATACATGTTTGAAAAGTAAGAATTCGAAAAAAAAAAAAAAATAGAACTATACCGAGAATTAAATTATTTTTGAATGCATTTGCTGCAATATAGAAAATACACTAACACGGAATGCATTCATGTACCTGTGTACAGCAAAAATCCATGCAGGTCAAAAACGCGTCAAACGCAGTGATAATTAAAACATTTACCTGAATGCGCTATCGTTACAGGGATGTGCACATGTCGAAAGAATTATCCTATTTTACTTTTATTGAAAAATGCATCTCAGAAGTCATGTAATCCATTGCTAACTCAACAGTAAAAGATGCTTGGACACACGTGGCCCATGCCATCATTTTATTTAGTCAGGGAAAATATCAAAAGTTGAAAGCTCAGTGGGGTTGATTGAAAGAAATGCAAGTATTTTTTTTTTCAAAACTAAGCATTACTCTTGTCTGTAAATAATGCAAATAGAATTTATGATTACATGGTTTAAATTCATTAAATTTATTAAAAAAAAAAAAAAAACATGCATTATTACGAATTATTCACCTTTTGAAGATATTTTCCTGTGATAGGAGGGTGTGTGTGTAATAAAACACATAATAAATGCATAATTATTAACAATCTCATAAAAATAATTTAAGAAAAACGTCGGAAACAGATTGCATTTCTTTATGATCAATTATTATCAAATAAATACTGTGTATTGGCTTTATTAGACCTAATATAATTTGATTTAAAGTTATTCATAATTTTATGCACAATGAATGAAAATATACCCCATGCACACCCAAAAGTCGAAGTGCTGAAATTCCCAGAAAAAAATAAAGGAAAAATAAAGGAATCGTAATTTCCTTGTTATATGCACATCTATGCACATTGTGTCCTAAATATCTGCAAAGTTTGAGGAAGTTGTGTGCAGCGGTTTATGAGGAATTGCGCTGACAAACTGCTCATCTTTATATTCAAGATATGGCCAAAATTAAATGTAAAAGTGCGGAAATTCTAGAAAAAATAAGATTTGGAATTTCCTGGTGATATGCAGATCCAGACACATTGACACCTATAAATATCTCGAAAGTTCGACAAAACTCTGTGCATTAGTTTATAAGAAGTTGCGCGACCCCCCCCCCCCCCAAAAAAAGGGCTGACTGAGGGTCCAAAACATTATACCTCACGCAACTTGTTGCGAGGGTATAATAAAAGAGTTTGATTCTGTGGTACAATGATAATGAAAATAGAATTTAATGTGAATTAAATTTCTAGATATAAATAATTAATGATTACTAGAAAAAGCATATAAAGAGAGAGAGGAAACCCCCGTGAGGATTTACGCATTCTACCTACAATTACCGTTATAAAAATTCCATTGTCTGTTGTGCAAGTTCAGCATATAAGTGTCGGAACCGGGAGGGGGCGGTGGCTTTTTTACAAATATATACTTAGTATAGACATTGAATATTGTTGCCTAGGTTTAAACCCCCCCCCCCCCCGCTTTCCACAGACAAGTCGCAGTAAAGGTTAAAAAAGAGGAAAGTGTTGGTGTTTGGAGAAAAATTATGTTACTGAAGTTCGAACCTACCTCCCCCCTCCCCTGCCTTTCCCCACACGAAATAGGATATTCGTGTTTAGGAAAAGGACATTTCCCCCTTTTTTAAGCTTGTCAGATTTTTTGAATGTATAAAAAAAATTTCTTTGCACTTAGCCCCCCGCCTCCCCCCTTTCAATTTGCTTCCGACGCCAATGCGTTTGAGAAGGTATTTGAGAAAGTCCCCGATGTACCCATTCCTGTGATGTATATTTCACGTTTATTATATCTCCCGCTTGAAAAGTGGGAGGGTATATAGTAATTATTATGTCCGTCCGTCGGTCTGTTACGCTTTGGGGTACCCATCTCTTATCCGCAAATCCTCTTATACCACTTAGTGAAATTAAATAAAACTTTCACAGAATCTTATAGGTTTATTACATATTACCATTTTGCATTTTGATCCGACACGTATTTTGGGTTTAGCGACAACATCAAAATATGGACTCTGCCATTACAACCATATGGGAGGCGGAGGTATCATTTAGTGTGCTCATTGCTCACAATACCTCTAATTTCTCTTTCAATTTGGCCGTTTGGGTTAACTTCTCGTCCAAATTAAAATTATTATTCAATTTATGAAGTTTCGACATCCCGCCTGAAAAAAATCCTTGATCTGTCCTAAGGCTTGATAAATGGACAGCACAAAGTGCGCAGGATCTTATACCTATTATTGCCCTAAGGGATGGTTACAGAGTGAGAGAGAGAGAGAAAAGGGAGAGAAAGAAAAAGAGAGAAAGTTCAATATACAAAAGAATAAATAAAAATTATTCTTTTTCAACCAGTGTTAAGACTCCCTACCCTAGCTTTTAAAATTATCTCCCAAATATTCCTACAGAAATTATATATATATATATATATATATATATATATATATATATATATATATATATATATATATATATATATATATATATATATATATATATATATATATAAAATAGTTAGACTATCAGGCAGGGATACTCAAATCTCGAAAGACTCTCTATAACAACATATTAATTATAAAACACTTATACATTCCTCAAAATGCACATACTTTGTGGTCGGAGTGACACATTTAAAAAAGAAATTTCAAAATTGAATTCGGCAGAGATGACTGTCTTCCAAGAATATTTAGATAACGGTCATGTCAATTATTTTCACCCCCCCCCGCCTTAAAAATCAAATGCCTAAATGTCAATCTGAACAGGGGATGGCATTTCTTCGTGTGTTTGTGTGTTAAAGAACGTATAAATCTATGTAGACATAAAAAAAAATTGTATTCTGGTTAATTGCTTTTAAGATTTGAAGTAAATAATTACCGTACATCAAATTACTAGTACATGTACTTGGTTTAGATTTGAGATTAGTACTACAATAATCAGTTATAACTGACAAATGAATTTTGCGACGCAAACCAACCGCAGACTATATGCATGACTTTGTATAGAATGTATATTAGAACTATATGTAGATAGACAATTCACAATTATAGCTTATGAACAGCAGTTATAATCCCCCCCCCCTTTCAGCCGCGCAAATACCAAATAACTTCTCTATCCACTTGTGATATTTTCCCTGACCAAAATCTGATCAGCACGGACTAGGTGTATCGACGTGCTTGTCTGTACGGAGTAGTGACATCGTGTTTACTATTGAGCTTTTACGGAGTTTATTTCTTTTTTGTGATGCATATTTCAATAAATGGAATTCAGGGTGTATATCACTTGACTTGTGCACATCTTCGAACCGATGCAGTAACCTTATTACCAGGTATGGGTACGTTTACAGCGTTCAAGGCGTTTCTCGATATGCACCAATTGCATAGGGGCTGCAAATCAAAGACGTTGGTTTTTTTGGTGCCATTCAAATAATAATAATTTCAAAACGTGTTTGCAGATTTTACTGCTTTCTATTTCAAGTTTATTCTGCATAAATTGGCGCACTGTAAAAATACGTACTCGTGCATCTAAAATTCTCACCAAACTTGCATTTTTTTTCTTTTGATTCAAATCAATAATTATTCAGAAATATGATTATTATTTTGTTTATTGTGGTTTTGAAATGTCTTGATCTCTTTAATGTGTTCTCATATGCTTTACCATCGGAGATGTGCACAAGTCGATACCCAAACCAAAAAATCATTCAACTGTAACGAGCGCATTGGGGTATACATCGTTACAATGAGACAAGGTATCTGAAAGAAATATGGCGGAATACGGCCATCGTTGGTATGAAACAAGTCGTACATAGATGAAAATGTTGCGTTTTTAAGAATTCATGTCAGCTTTAAGGAGGCTGGTGGGTCAACAATTTAATCCCAAATTAACCACCAGATTTAGCTGTCAACTATCATTTGGCAAAGAAAAAATTCATATATTTTAGCTTTAAAATTTGATCATTTTGTATATCTTTATATGGAGCTCTCCTTTTAAAGGAGGTTGAAATAGTCTAAAAATGGCTGTCACCCCCTAGCCTCGTTAAAAATGATACTATCAAGGGTACTTATTCAAAGTAGAGAATGTGACTTTGGAATAAGTCTTATTTAACCAAGAAACCTTGATCAAATATTTTATGATGTTTACTAATTCCCACCAACAAAATGTTTACTGAAAAATCTTATTCTACAGTTCCTGGTAATATTTTCAATTCAGGCTGATAACTGTCTATCATTCAATAGAGAATGACAAATTAGTGAATCACCATGTCAGATTCAACTTGATTGTACACTTATATAAAAACTAATATTGTTTACATTAAAAAATAATATTGTTTACTGACCGAGCAATCTTCAGTAGTGCCCTCCTGTAGACTACTCGTTCTGTAGAGGCTGATACACTCGGTGGTGATGGGGGTTTAGAGGGGATAAATAGGCTGCCTAAAAATAACAGTCCGGAGGCAGCAAACTCTATATAATGAAAGAGAAATGTAACTTATGTAAAACTTTAGGACAAACATTTAATAGCTAATTCATTGATATGATATATATTCATTATTGAATAGTTTATTCATGTGTATGTGCATTTGAAACTACTGACCGTAATACATTAGGTACATAATGTCCTGCTGGATATGTTTAAAGTTGACCAAAACTGTAATAAAGAAATTATCATCAATTCAGTGCTATCCGTGAAGTTACAATAATATATATGAATATATAACATTACCTTCAGAGGAATTTGTATTATTTCTTTGATTGTCATGCGTTGGTATATATAAATCTTCTGCTAATCTGAAAGAATGTAACATTCCATGTCTTTAACAATGAAAAAATAGAAGCATCCAATTTTCTTATATCCAACTCATGAACAAGAACGTTTAGTAAGGTATATTATGTCTATATTCTTATATCAATCATTTCGATATGGAATATATTTTACCTGTTTGGTGTAAGAGTATTATTTTGGAAATGAGTTTCATTTTGGTACTTTGGTGACGATACTAGCTGTGGACCTATAAACAAACCAAAAAGAGACATCTTTAATGCTTACACCATTACCTTAAGAAAAATCCAACGTTCTATCGATGCAATATAATTTGTTCCTATTTGTATATTTTTTCTTGGTAACATTGCGGGTGTACATGTTTACTGTTGCAAGGGTTTGTCGCGGGACAAATTTTGATTATATTATAACTACATAATGTCAAATATAACCTAGCTTTACATTCCCGATTTAAAAATGGAAGCGGGTTACAAATATCCATGTTTATAACATGTTTATGTTTTAATAGAAGAATTCCAGGAGATTGTTGATAAATACATGTACCTATAACAAATGCTAAAGCTATTCCTACGTAATTGAACACTGAAACGACTGCTGTGGCGCTTGTTCTCTGATTAGGCGGAAACCACGTGTTGGCAACCTGCGCAGGCGCAGCGCAAGGCACTGTTCCAGAAATTCCATTTAAAATAGCACAAAAATTACTCAGCCTGAAAAATAACCAACATGGCACAGAATCTTCACACACATGTCAAGTTAATACATAGACTGATTTGATAATTTTTAATAAGAGTTGATAGGAAAGGAGATGCTGTTCAAAGTTGGTGCAGAAAAAGGATAGAGATGAAAAATGTTAATTCGAGTTCACTGGCTTTAAAGATGAAGAAGTTTTTATTTCCTTTTAACCTGACCTGCACAATAATATTGGACTTTTTTAAAAAGTGAATTTAGATGTTCTTTGCTGATTCCCTTTAGTTCATTGTAGAATATTAATTTCAGCAACGAACATCGAGAAATGATCGTTATTTTACAAAATACCCACCATGTGGCATATTTAGGTTCATAGGTTATACATCTAAGTCCAGTGCCAATCAGCAATAAAACCGTGCAGGCCATAATAAATTCGTAAACCTGTAACATATATATTTCATATAATACACTTACACCATATTTTCTTACCTGATAAGCATTTTAACAATAATAGTAAATTGTTAAAATTTATCGATTGTAAAAGATGAAAAGGAAATTGTCAGTCTAAAAATAGTTATCAAAAAAAATCGTCAACAGTCAAAAAGGACCCGTGGAAACATCACGAGTGGGATCAGATGCCTAGGAGGAAGAAGCGTCCACTTTCAAAACCATCTTTGAGCCATATGCATTGATCAGGTATACGGAGTGCCCAGTAATCAAAAAAAATATAAAAGCAATGACGTAGCAAATGGTACGAAACTTAT